GGATTTCGGTGGCATTGGTGCTGCTGGCAGAGTTTTCCACGATGACGGACCTGCACAGAGGAAGGGAGGGTAAAGCACTGTGGCATAGCATGTGACACTGGCTGGGGTGTTGGTAAGGTAGGGGCTGCTGGAGAATCACTGTCCACCCGTTTCTTACTCACACATGCTCCCATCCCTCCTGACTAATGTACGCGCTCCTCAGCACACAAGTTAGCAAGAGTTAGAACCAGAGACAGGTCACAGTTGTCCTCACACACTTGGGTGTCAGAAACCAGTCTGAACACAGGGATGGATCAAAAGGGATCTAGTTTTGTAACAAGGCTCTAAGCTGCACCAGAAGCACACAGAGATGCTGGAAATCAAGTCCCAGGAGCCACACATTGGTCAGCAGAGCGGCTGGGAATGCCCCTGTGACCCATGCCTCCCACTGCTCCTCAGCCTGGAAGCACCCACTGCAGCAAGCTCCTGCAGCAGCCCTGCTCCAGCAGATACGTGTTTATGAGGCCAAAAATTGGCCAGGAGAAAATCTGGCTCCTGTGCTTCCTGCATGCTTCCCCTGCGACAAGTCTTCATCCCCTCACTCTGCAGCCAGGGCACTCTGCCTACAGGAATGAGGGGAACAAGAGGGATCCCCTAGAGGCAGTTGTGCTCACATCCCTTGCTGGAGCACATGGCCCAAGGGAGGGAGGGCAGACGGATGGATATGGCTCTGCATGGTGCAGACTCCCCTTCCTTTACCTCTCTTTGAACTGCTGGTGACAGTGCTCGCTGCAGAAGCCCCTGCCTTCCCGGGCCCCATCCCACACGTGTCTCCGGCCACAGGTATCGCAGTGGCACATGCTTTCTGCTGTGGGCAGCTTGCTCTGCTCCGGCACATCTGGGAGGAGAGAGAAGCAGCAGTGAGGCATGAGGTGCAGCAAAGGAAGGAGAGCAGAAGCAGGAGACATTTGCCTCACTCAGGGACCACAGCAGACAGCATGTGCAGGATGGTGGTACCCACCTCTCAAGTGCCACCATGGTGCCCTTACCATTAGCCACAGTAGGATTGTCTCTGCTGGTGGGTGCCACCTCTGAGTCCCCATCTTTCTCTGTGTGACCCTCCTTTACAGCTTCCACTGGAGGTATCTTATCAGCACTCACCACCTTCAGTGTCCCATACTCATTTATTCGAAACTATGTCATTGAACCAAAAAACAAGGAAGAAGAGTTAACAAGGAGAACAGAAATGTAACTTGATAGCTTGTGGGTGCAGCTGAGCTCTGAGAATGAGGGACATGGTTTGGTTATCAGTGTGTCCAACAAGAGGACAGTTCTTTGAGGACAGAGATGAGCACAGCACCCCAGTCTCCTGTGATGGTGCCCCTGCCTGCATCCTGTGCTGGACACACTGTGGGCACTCGGGTGACCAGCTGGCAGAAAAGCTGGAGGATGGCTGGAGCTGGCAGGTGGATGGCTGGAGGATGTGGTGCCCTGAGGCTGAGAAGCAGCTGAGAAACGGGTGCATTTTCTGCAAGCTATGTCATGCACTGAGGGGTATCCCTGAAGGCACCCTCTGCCTGCTGACTCCTGCTTCCAAGATGAGTGCAGGAGCTGGGTGAGAGCCAGCTCCATGGTACAGCTTGGAAAGGAAAGATGTCCTGCATAGCACGTAGCACCTCTGTGCCTCCCTGTGCAGACCTGCTGCAGCCCCCAAGCACCATGTGTGAGCTCTGCTAAGCTCCCAGGATAGGAGGAGCATAGGGATGGGGCACAAGAAGAGCCTGAATAGCTGAGGGATCCTCCAGCAGGGGTGCAGGTACTGTCAGGGGCCATGTCACATCCTGGTGGTGCCCACCTGGCACAGGCTGGGGACTTACAAGGTCAAGGAGCTGCAGGGAGTGGCAGAGGGGACAAACACAGTGGCCCAGGGCTGAACTTACCCGCAGGTTACTCCCAGGCAAAGTAGCCACCCCATCTTTCCACTCCAGCACACGGACTGTGCTGCAGGTCTGCACCCCGCTGATCTGGGGAATGACAGTAGCTGTGATCGGCTCATTCCCTGTTCCCCTCTCTGGCCTCTCGGCCCCTGTGCTTCTCTGTGGTTCCCGGGGGAATCGCTGGATTTCTAAGGTGTTCGTGGGAAGGCTGATGGTAGTGGCATTTGCTTGAGAAGGGAAGAAAGGAGACAAACAACCAGAGGCATACACAGAACACTTTGCTAGTGCAAACAAGGCTCAAAGGAAGCACAAAATCACAGAGGACATGGTCTCCCAGCCAAGGGCTGTGCTGTGGGCCACAAGCAGTCAGAGTGACCCAAAAAGTCTGCAGCCAGCAATGGCTTATGCTGGGGGGTGGCACCAACACTATCCACATTCAAGGGGTTCTACTTCAGCTTGATCTTGGACTCTTTCTGTGACCAGAATGCCCTGATGTAGCAGGAATGTCCTGGTGAGCTCCTGGACTGCAACTTCAGTTTAAAACTTCCAGTTTAGTTACATTTCAAAGGAACACGCTGTGTAGATCAGGGTCTCACTGCAGTGAGACCTGAGGCACCAGCAGCAGGAAAAACTGGAAGATCTGCTTCTGAAGAACACCCCTGATCTCATCTAACACACATCCATGCTTTGCTCACATACCTCCTGAAAGACACCTGTCAGCTGGGCTGAAAATGGTCCCAATTTTCAAGAAAGGTAAGAAGGATGACCCTGGAAATTACAGACCTGTCAGTCTCACTACAGTGCCTGATAAAACTATGGAGAAGGTTATTCTCAGAGTTACTGGAAAACACTGGAGAGGCAACAGTTGTCAGTCACAGTCAACACAGGTTCACAAGTTGACCAAGGGGAAAGCCAATAGATGTGGTTTTTTAGTATTTTAGCAAAGCTTTTGATACTGTCTCTCACAGTATCCTTCTGGACAAAGTGTCCAGCACAGAGCTCAATTAGTCCATCATATGTTGGGTGAACAATTGGCTGATGGTTGGGCTCAGAAACTTACAGACCATCACCAGTGGGGTTCCCCAGGGCACTGGTTTAGGGCCAGTGCTCTTTAATGTTTTTATAAATTATGTGTATGCAGGAATCAAATGCACATTAAGTAAGTTTATTGATGACACTAAGTTAGGAGGAGCTGTGGACTTGCTCAAGGTTTAGAGGCCTAACAGAGAGAACTGGATGGACCAGAGAGCTGGGCAATCACAAAGCGTATGAAATCTAACAAGAGTAACAGCTGGATTCTGCATCTGGGATGGGGTAATCCAGTTATATGTAGGAACAGGGGGACAAGCCCCAGTGGGAGTTAGCAGTGCCCTGGCAGCCCCAAGGGCCAGCCCTGTCCTGGGGGGCATCAGGCCCAGCATCGCTGGCTGGATGAGGGGGGTCTGTCCCACTCTGCTCTGCTCTGGGGCAGCCTCACCTCAAGTCCTGAGGGCAGTTTGGGCACCTCAGCACAGGAAGAACATCAGAGGGCTCGAGTGTGTCCAGAGGAGGGGGACCAGGATAGGGAAAGGGTTTGAGGGCAGGACTTAGGAGGAGCAGCTGAGGCCACTCGGCCCACTGAGCTCAGAGAAGCCAAGGGGTGACCCCATCACAGTCTGCACCTTCCTCACAGGGGGCAGCGCAGGCAGGGGCTGATCTCCTCTCTCTGGGGGACCAGTGATGGGACACAAGGAGGTGGAACGCAGGTGCATCACAGGAAGTTCAGATGGGATATTAGGAAAAGGTTCCTCACCCAGAGGAACAGGCTCACCAGGGAAGTGGTCACGGCAGCAGGGTTGCCAGAGCTCAGGGAGTGTCTGTCTCCACTGTTGCCAGTGGATAACAGCCTTATGGTTTAGTTCTAGGTGGTCCAGTCCTGATGAGGGTGTTAGACTTGATCCTTATGGGTCCCTTCCAGCTTGAGGTATTCTGTGATTCTATGATATTGCAGCAGCCCAGGAGCCCACAGCCCTGCAGAGCAGGGACCCAGCACACTGTGCTGCCCTGGTACAGGGCTCCAGATATCAGGGCTTTGGCTTAAAACTCAAGAAGTTTTGATTGACCACAAACCATCCAAGTGATGTGGAATAGCCACAGAGAACCTTTAAAATGGCAACAGCAGCATGGCTTTGCCTCCCAGGATTTGGGAGGAGCACAGACACACAAGGAGTGTGAGGTATCAGCGTGTGGGGAGAAGGCTGGGGAGACACCAGTTAGAGAGGACTGTTCCCCATACCTGGTATAATGAAGGCAGTGGTTGGCAGGTGGGTGCTCTGCACAGTGCTCTCGGTGGTGACCACATGGACGCTGACCTCCCCAGCAGCATTGCCCTTCGTGCTCCTCACCACCTCCATTTCTGCCCTGCTGTCCATCACCTTGCCTGGGCACAGAGCGAGGCACTGCAGGAAAGAAATCAAGTTGGGTACCAGTACAAACACAACAAAGGAGTGAGAAAGTGACTGCAGAGATAGGTCTCTCCCTTTCCACCATCTCCCAGCAGAAATCCCTTCAAGATGTATTAAAGGTCCATTCAACCCAACACAGAACAACACGAAGGTCACAGCTGGCATCAACATGTAAAGCCCAGTAAAGCCCCTGTTGTGAGATCCCACCTCAGACCCTGCAAATGCCAAGGTTTTTTTCTTACCTGGCACCACCATAAGATGGTATGAGGACGGCAGGTCCACAAGATGCTCCTGGCTCCTCCGGGGGCCTACACTACTCCAGTGCAGACTGTGACTGAGGGCTGGCAAATGCTACCCTGGAGCAGGCAGAGGTCCATGAAGTTCCCCTTCCAGCTCTCCTGTTGGAGCATCACCCTTGATCTTTTAACTGCCTGCAAGAAAGAATTTCACAAGTGCCAGGATTTGATGGGGGGGGGACAGGGGCGGGTCAGGGGAGCTTGATGCCTTCTGCATGCAGTTTCTCACAGGACTGGTGATGTTCAATCTCTTAAGCCATGAATTTCAAGGAGTGGGCAAAGTGTCAAGGCCCTGAGGGAACTATTGAGTCTTACTGGCTGTGATCAGCCTCCCCTGGGACCCCCACCCATGGGCCCAGGGGCTCCAAGTTGCAGCAGTGCAGTCTCCAGCAGGTCTGGCAGCAGTGGGACTGACCTCCTGGCTGGAATCCTGGCTTGATCTCAGGCCTTGCCTGAGCTCCAAGGGACATGGCCACAGTGCCCCTCCAGCTGCCTTCCTTGGTTCCCTGCCCCTGGGGAGAGCAGCTACCCCTTGCTGTGTCCCAGCTGGCAGGACGGTGCCTGCACCAGGATGTCCCCAGACCAGGGCCTGCCTGCAAGCCCAAGAGAGGGGCAGTGTTGCCTCCTGGTGCCCAGGGCACCTCGGCGAGGGAGGACTCTCGGGGCTGCCCTAGTGAACAATGCAACAGACATGCGTGGCCAGGCAAAAACCCAGTAGCATCCCCAGATGTGCTCAGGGAAGGTAGACCTCTCCATGCCTACTGAAAATGATGGTCCAGGTGTCCTAGAGACTCCTGAAGTCTGAGGATGCTGAGTGAGGGAAGGATTTTGGACCTGCCCTGTTTCCCACACCTTGTTGCCAGGATGGAGGCAAGGGCTGCTATGAGGCTACAGAGGGCTACAGAGGGGACCATGGCCATTTCTTGGTTCCTTTTGGTGCAATTTCATTTTGAAAGGGAAGATAGCCATGTGGAAAACAAGATAATCACTTTGCTGACGTGGGGTTGTCTGGAATTTTAAAACCTGAGACATTAGGATAAAGGTGTCACAACCAGAGGGTAAAGAGTGGATGGTATGGTCGCATGAGGGGAAGATCTACTTCGTCTTCCCTCTCCCAGTGCTGTCAGGTTTGTGACCACAAACACCTGATGCTCAGCTGACAGACAGCATAGACCTTCCAGGCCCTTCTGGCACAGAAAAGCACTGTTAAGTGTCAGGAGACCTGAAGAAACTGAGCAACTCAGCTGGACACCAGATTCCAACTGAAAGCCAAAATGAATTTGGCAGCCAACCTGTTCTGGTGCTTCCTAATACCTACTAGGAATCTATCTGCTTTCTTAGGCACTCAAATCCAATCAATCCCTTATTCATCACTTGAGTTAAAAGTTTCAAGGACAACTCCTCATTTTGTGCGAGCTGTTGGCTTTTTTTTTTTAACTTAAACAGAAATTGGTACTAGAAATGCCTAGAAAGGAAGAAAAATAACTAGATCCAGTGCTCCGATTGGATAATGCTCCAACTCATCTCCATCCAGAAACCTATGACACAATAGTAAATACTTGCACAGGAAGTGCCCTGCAGTAATCATCACATTTTTAACACTCTCCAAACCCTTGTGGGGCTGTACCAACGCTGTCAGGACAGGTTCTCCCATGCCTTATGAGTTTGGCATATGAATGAACAGAATGAATCTGGATTGTAGATTGGGTGCTATGCCTTAAACTGGAAGAACTAAACAACGGAGATTTAGGACTTAAACTACAGACAATCCCTCCTCCAACAACCTCCTGGAAAAGGCCTCACTGCTCCAAATGGCAAGTCCCACCACTGCACCATGGCTGGGCATCCCAGCTCAGAGGGTCAGGAGCCCTCCAAGCGGCCTGAGGGAGGCAGAGAAGCCCATCCAGTCCATGGCCTTGCTCTACAGTTGGATTTGGTGATCTTAGAGGTGTTCTCCAACCTTAATCATTCTACCACAAACTGTCTCTCCTGTTCCTCTTATCTGCCCCTCAGCAGTGGTGTCCATGCTTTCCCCGGCACCTCTGGCCAGAGCACTAGACCCTTGCTGGTAGGTCAGGTGTGGGCATGACATGACAGCTGGGCTGCAGAGCTCCATCCCCACCTGCAGGAATGTGAATCAGGATTGGAGATATTGTTTGCAGCTCACAGTTTTTAAAACCTGGTATAAAAATCTCTGGAAGCCCAACCTGTTGTGAAGCATCCCAGGTCAGGAACACTACATATGGAAAAAGGGAGAAAAGAACAAGTATCTGTACAGGGGATCAGCCACAGCTATGATCTGTCTTAGCATCACTGTCACAGAAGGAGAAAGGCACTGGCACACATCCCTTTGGATAACCCTGCTCCTGAGAGCAGAAAAGGTGTCATGGAGAGGGTGCCCACAGCTGAGACAACTCTGGTGGCTTCAGCCCTTGGAGCCAGAGCACAGGCACGTACCACTGCCCCAGAGATCACTTCAAGAGATCTGCTGCAAGCCCTGGAATGACCTATATTACCACAGGGTACTTCAGGAACCAGAGGAGGTCTCTAATTCAAGCTTCTGCTCCCAGCAGGGTCAGCTATGTGATCAGACCGGGTTGTTCAGGGCTTTATCCAGCCCAGTCTTGAAAACCTACCGGGATGGAATCCTGCAAATTAGCACAATAATTAGCAAACCAAACTAACACATTCCCTTGGATATTAGGAAAAGATTCTTCCCCTTTCCTAATTTGCCCCTAGGTGGTCGGGCACTGGAACAGGCTCTCCAGGGCAGTGGTCACAGCCCCAAGGCTTCCAAAGCTCAAGGAGTGTTTGGACAACACTCTCAGGGACATGGCGGGACTGTTGGGGAGTCCTGTGCAGGGCCAGAGGTTCAACTCGATGATCCTTGTGCTCAGGATATTCTATAACTCTTTCTGCTGGCTGCTCTAGACAACGAACAAAAGCTTTATTTATTCATTTATTTATTTTATTTATCTGGGATCTTAAAAAGCTTTTGGCTTACACATGCCCCAGTGATGTCTGATAAAACTCTGCTCACCTGGACAAGATTGGATCGGGCCAACACTTTGCAGCCTTCAAAAATCCCACCAGCCAGCTTTTAAAAGAGAAACTGTGGAGCTACAGCTATTTTGGCCTTAACAGTGAGTCCCCAAATTCTCCATTTTATCTTGTATTGGGTGTAACTCCACATGTGTTACAGAGGGTGCAGGTGAGCCCCATGCCCCAGCCAGCCAGCCATTCATTCCACACCCACTCCTACCTTCTGCTGAGGGACAGCCAAGGACATTGGGCAAGCAACCCAGGGGCTTGGAAAGGACTTCTATGGCTGCTATACACATGAGTAACACATGTACACACGTGCCTCCAGCTCTGCCACGGTCTCACACCCACCCTCTCCCAAAACCATGTCAAAGCCAGGGAATGATCCACTGTTTGGAGAGGAGGGATACACTACATGCAACAGGCCACAGAAGAGCATGAAGAAAAGCAGCTTCCAGCACAGAGCTGCTGCACAGCCCCATCAGTGCCTTCTAAAGCACAATCTGCTCAAAAGAGGTGTTTCTTTTCATCACAAGATTGGCTTAAAATAATAATAAGTCAAACAATATTAACGTGTATTGGCTTTGTGGCTTCTTGAATTTTTAAATATTCCTGAAACCTGCACTGGTACATGCTGGGAGTCAGCTGGCAGGAAAGGCCATGGGAATCCTGGGGGATACAGGATGCCTATGAGCCAGGAATGTGCTCCTGCAGCAAAGGAGGAGGATAGTGTACTGGACTGCACTGGGAGCAATGTCACAGCTGCTGGAGGCTGGGGACCCTTCCCCTCTGCTCTGCACTGCTGAGGCCACCCCTGGAGTGCTGGGCCCAGAGCTGGGCAGCCCAGTACAAGAGACTGGGACAGACTGGAGAGAGTCCAGCACAGGGCCATGAAGGTGATGGAGGGACTGGAGCATCTCTGCCATGAGGAGAGGCTGAGAGAGCTGGGACTGCCCAGCCCAGAGCAGAGCAGGCTCAGGGGATCTCATCTGTGTGGATAAATACCTGGAGGGAGGGTGCAGAAAGGACGGGGCCAGGCTCTGCTCAGCAGTGCCCAGGGACAGACCTGGGGGCCACGGGCACAAACTGACACACAGGAGGGGCCCTCTGAGCATCAGGACACACTTTTCCGCTGCAAGGGTGGCTGAGCACTGGTGCAGGTGCTCAGGGAGGTGGTGGAGTCTCCATCCGTGGAGAGACTCGAAAGCCGCCTGGGCACATCCTGGGCAGCCGGCTCTGGGTGGCCCTGAGGGAGCAGGGACTGGGCAAGGTGACCGTCAGAGGTCCCTCCAACCTCACCCAGCCTGTGATTCTGTGAATTTTTTTCAGAAATCTCCTCAGCCATAGCAGAGAACTTTCTCATCCTTACCATCACCTGAGGTATGATTATTAATTACCTCCAGTGGCAAAATTGAGCCTTTAAGAAAGACCACCAGCTGAGATCATGCTAAACATGCAAGTGGTACAGCCAGAGCACTGCAGAGACCAGCTAGGCTGGGAGCTGTTCCCTTGGGTCTTCCCCTGTCTTCTGGTATTGCCCAGGGCAGGTGTTTAGGAGGCTAACAGCACTGTAGAAAGTATTTGCTTTATATACGCACAGGCAAACTCAGGAACACCCTTGGCACAGGCAGGTGTCCCAGCGGAGAAAGACAATCCTACCTCTTCCCTTCCCAATCTGACTGCTACTTCAAAGCCAGGAGGCAACGCCTCCTCTGGAACAAACCAGGGGCACAAAGTCCTGCTCCTGTGTTCTGCTGCAGCATGGTGAGGTTTGGAATGAGCCGTGGAATTTATCAACATCTCAAAACCAGATGAATTGTTATTCTGCGCAGTAAAAGCTCAATCATGTTGCACATTTCAAAATAGCAAATAGATTCTGTGAAAATGGAGATCAGAGGGAGAAGGGCAATAAAGCAGCAAGCTTTAGCTTCAGACACAGCTGACAAAGCAGAGCCACTCCGGCTGAGTTTTCACCTGCTGTCCCAGGAGTGTCACCGCTACCAGGATTAGCTTTTGGGCCTGTGGATCCACGCAGAGCCACAGGTGGGGAGAATGAGCAGTTACAGGGATCTCCTGTGCCACTCCAAGGGGCTCAGGGTGACACCATCCAAGCTCAACACTGAGGCCAGAAGGCAGCATGAAGCCTGGGTAGCTCCAGCTGGATCCAGACCCCTGGCCCAGCCACCCCTGAGAGGCACAACAGGGACACCCACACCTACCTTCCACTGCTCCCTGATAGCATCAGCCCTGCTGCAGCATCCAGCCCTGCACAGTTAGGGATATTCTTCCACAAGTTACACTTATAAGTAGGCGGACACATCAAAACAGGATGGATACGTGATCCTGAAATATTTCTAAATGTCTCAGCTTTTATCTTCTTTTATAACTAATAAAGAAATAAATCCACAACCTGTCCTAGCCCACGAGGAGCACTGTCTCCATAGCCTGGGCTATGCACTGCCTGCCAGGCGGAACCTAAGCCCTCCACACTGCAGGGCCCTATCCAGGGCTGCAGCGGTGTCACCTCCAGGCTCCGGGACAGCACCAGCTCACAGTGTTTGAGAAACACCTGAAGCAACACGGTCAAGCGTCCAGACTGAAAGGGGCTTCCAGCCTCCGTGTGTCCCAGAGAGGATCCCTTGGGAAAGCCAGGGAAGCACAGTGCGGTTCCCTGTCTCTGTGGACAGGGCTGGGCAGCGCCTCGCAGCTGCAGCCCAAGCAGGGCGCAGGCACCCGGCGGGCCCCGAGCCTGGTGCCGGGAGATAAGCACGGTAATGTTCCTGCGAGATACCCCGGGGGCGGCGGCCCTGGGCAAACACACTGCGCTGCACACGGTGTCACGGTCCAGCTCCGGCCCCTCCGCGCCGCTCCACCCCGGCTCCGGCCCCGCCGCCGCGGGCACAGTGGATGCCGGAGCGTCCATCCCCGCCGTCCCCGGGCCCGCTCGCCCGGCCGGGGCCTCGCCCGTGCGGGAACCGGGATGCGGCGATGCCGGGCGGGGATGCGGCGAGCCCGGGCCGGCGGTGCCCGGCCGCGCTTCTTACCTGCCCCCGGCCGGACGCTGCTCCGAGCCCCGGCGGCGCTGCCCGGCCCGGCCTGGTCCGGGGTGCGGGGGGCGGGGGGCGCGGAGCGGGAGGGGCGCGGGGCCGGTCCGAGTGTGCGCGGGGAGCGCGGGGAGGGGGCGGCTCAGCCCGCGCCGTCGCCGTGGAAACGCGCGGGGCCGCATCCGCAGGGCCGCGCTCGGCCCCGCCGCAGCTTTTCGGGGGGATGCGGGGAAAGGGGGGGAGTCGTCATGGCAACGCTGTTAGACGGGACGGGGGGCTGAGAGCAACAAGGTGCTGCTTGGACTGAAGCCCTTCGTCTATGGAGACGAAGGTTGGGAGAGAGCTGGGGGTCTTCAGCCTAGAGAAGGCTCTGGGAGACCTTAGAGCACCTTCCAGTGCCTAAAAGAGTTCCAAGAGAGCTCGAGAGGGACTTTGGACAAGGGCCTGGAGTGACAGGACAAGGGGGAATGACTTCCCACTGCCAGAGGGAAGGGTTAGATGGGATATTGGGAAGAAATTCTTCCCTATGAGGGTAGTGAGGCCCTGGCACAGGTTGCCCAGAGAAGCTGTAGCTGCTCCATCCCTGGAAGTGTCCAAGGCCAGGTTGGACAGGGCTTGGAGCAACCTGGTCTGTAAGGTCCCTTCCAACCCAAACCCTTCTAAGATTCTGTGATTAACCAAATGCCCCTCAGATAGCAATTGGACATCACCAATGGGAACATGTCCTCCTCAGCAGCCCAGAGACCCTTGAGACCAAATCAGTTCCCCAGGCCCTAACTGGTATCAGTGTGGGGGATGCCTGCCCTCTGCAGCTCTCCTACCACAGGCCCAAAGAGTAACCAGAGAACATTAACCTGACATCCTCAAGAAACCTGGGAAGGAAAAGAATCACTTGAATTAGTTCTGTAGTGGAAATGCAGGATAGGTACAATGCACAGTAGTGTTTCCAAAGGGCTCTTGTCAAAACCCGGAGCAGCTTATCTTGCCCACTCTTTGGTATTCTGTGGCCACACAAGGTGTGTGCCTTCAGACACACAATGTCTATCTCTCTTACCTGCAGAAAGCATGAGTGGAAGGAACCAAGGCTAGAAGCACAAAGGCCAAAAATGTACAATAAGCTGCTGAGAACAGCCCTTGATGCATGTTGGATGGGTTAGGGAGAGGCAGCTGCCTGCTCACCCCGATGTCCAGCTCCGGCTGTTCTGAACCGGGAACACAGAGTGTTCCTGCTTGCTTTGGAGATTGCAGGAACACACTCTGTTTTAGTGTATCTGCCAGTTCTTTGTCACCTTGAGTTCTGTATCCTAAATTTTTAATACATTAAGAATATTAAGTCAAAGACTCTGAAAAAGCAATAGAGCCTGCAAATTAGGAAGGAAGTAACAGGCCTGCCAGAGCTGTCTGGACAATGCTCGTAGTCCTGTGGTTTAGTTCTAGGTGGTCCTGCCAGGAGCAGGGCTTGGTATTGGATTCAATGGTCCTTTTGGGTCACTTCCAGCTTGAGATACTCTACTTGTGATTCTATGAACTTTTGTTTCCCTAAACTTAGCTCTTCATAATGCTTTTCTTAGTTAACTTATTCTGACATGTATTATTCAACTCCACTATGCCATTAATCCCACTAGACCCAATGTGTGCAGAGTGCAGCAGGGCTGTGCTGCTCCAGGATTTGTTTGGTCAGGATTCATCCCCATGCATTCTGCTATTTATGGGATAGCAGCATCCAGACGTGCTAGTGCCTGTCACTCCTGTCCTCAGCCACAGTCATGTCCCAAGCTCATTTCACCCAAAAGCCTGATAGAGACCTCATAAAACATGAAGCAATAGGAAGTTGCTGCCATCCACAGCTTTTATTCCCAGTGGACAGGTCACTGCAATCCTCAGTTTCATGCTTTCCAGGGTGATGTAGTGTATGGAGAACAAACCAATTCTGGTCTGGGCTGTCACACATACACAGGTGACACCTAAATTGTGGCAAATGGTGGATTATACTTTCAGTCACAAACCAATTACTTTTAATTGTCAGCAAATAGATCCAGGTGGGTAAGTGGAGAGGCGCTCTCAGAAGTTTTCTTGTGTCTCCCCAGTTACTGTCAGCACTTAACTCCGTGCTTGTACCAGAGTTGAGCAAAACAGGAGATGCTGTTGGACCCCATTACCCCCCAGGTTAATTGTACAGTATCCCTGTTGCTCCACTGTGATCACGACCTGCTGTATTATTTTCCTCTTGTGTTGATGCTGAGCAGAATTAGGAACACAAACGCTGTGCAGGGAAAGCATTTGGCACTGTACTCAATTCTAGGGGAAGCATTGCTTTCACCCAGCAGCTTGCCTGAGTGCAGCTGTGTGCTGTGGTCACATCAAGCAGGTAAGCTGTGATCTATTTACCACCTGCTGACTTAACAGCACCAACTTCTTATTCACGTGTACAGGATAATCCTGTTCCAGGAGCTGCACACACTAGTAAAAATACATAAGTAATTCCCCCTACAATTCCATCTACATGACAGCACAGGCTGCATCTTCCAGTCATCTCCAATCCTGGTGTTACCTGCAGATCTTTCCCTCCACTATTTTCAGTATTTTGGACTGAAATCACTGTACTCAGTTCTTACCCAAAAGTAAAACACTGGAGTAAGACTTAAGCTTTTGCTTTTAAAATGAGTAAAAAGAGTATTGTAGATACTCTAAATTAGACAAGCCTACAGAACTCGCTTTCTGTGAATAAAAGGAAGATGATATTGCCCTCGAGTCAGAGAATCATACAGATTCAAGCCCAAAATTTGAGGAGTACAAGCTGTTGTGAAGTACATCCTGAGTCATGCATGAGCTATAGGCATCTTCTATGGTCAGCACCTTTTCAGTGGTACGGATCATACCAGCTGCTGTGCTCCATTCCTTCCTGTACAGAAACACACCCATTGCATCCAACTTAGCCCTGGTGGTGACAGACATTGCTAAAAGGGTAGAAGTTTATAAGCCACTTCAGAGCAGCTTATTTATTGCCATTTTTTAATTGGATTATAGAACAGCTGAAACTTCCCCTCAGGCATCTACACACACATCTGGCAAAATAATAATGTGTGAAGAAGCCATGAGATCAAATGCATTTTGGCACCTAACCACAAAAGAAAAGGGGGAAAAGGGCTGATCACGGTGTGACAGAGATTGTTATGATTCCAAGGACACATAGTTAAAATTCCTGAACTGCTGCCACTATACGCAGCAATGTGTGTTAGTTCGCTTTTGGGTTTGTGTTAGCTTTTCAAAGTACCATGTTGCTGTTCACTTTAAACAGCCCTTACAAAGCGCCAAGGACACAGCCAAGAGCTGCTGATGGTGTAGCAGGAACTCTACCTTCAACCACAACTTTATGATGCATCTTTAACTGTCATAACATCTGCACCACCTTTCAAGGACATTCCAAACAGCAGCTCAGCTTAATTGTTGGGATTTCCTGAGCCAAGTTCCTACTTTCCCAGCTTTTGCTCTTTGATGGTATGAAATTGCTTTGTGGATGTTACAGTGCCAACCTGAACTAGACTCAAGTAGGAATCGGAAACAGTTCAAGTTATTCCATGTGAGAATAATAAATCAAAGAATCATGTTTTAAATGCCCATCCCCACTGTTCATCCAAAGGCAGTTACAATCTGGGTTAGGGACAGAGTAATCTCCCAGTTGTAAATGGACTCTAAACCCACAAAATGTAGAGGCAGAAATGTTATAGTAGAAAAAAGCAGTGTCACCTACTCCAGCCACTCAGCTCTACTCTAAGCATGATATTGCAAGGTGACACTTTAGTGTTCATCAAAGCAGTTGTGCTCTTCCTTACAGCAAGACAACATACTGTTCCTTGCTCTTCATGATGTAGAATCAAATAAAAAGTGAATCAAACAATGGTTGTGGATGTTCCATCCCTGGAAGTGTCCAAGGTCAGGTTGGATGGGAATGGAAGATGAACCTGGTCCAGCGGAAGATGCCCCTGCCCATAGCAGGGGAGTGGAACAAGATGATCTTTAAAGTTTCTCCAACCCAAACCAGTTTGTGATTCTAAGATTAAAGGATGAAACTTCATTTATGTCAAAAACCAAAATACAAGATGGGATGCTTTTTCAAATACCGGAAAAGGCCAGGACCAGACTGCAAATACAGCCCCAGTTTCTAAATTTCGTCTTTTTTTTTTTTAACAGTAGTGTTGGTTTCTCCTTCACAATTTGCTACAGGACACTAGGGTTTTGTCAATCTTGCCCCCCATATTTGATGAGAAGGCATGTTTCTCTTTTGTCTTTTTAAGGACAAACTTACATTGATGCAAAAAATTAGAAGAAAAAAAAGTCAGGTAGCCCAGTACTGAAGCATGCCCCCAGAAAGCTGGCTCCAGGATCAGGTTAAAACTGAGATATGAGCAACTCCAGATGGTTTTGTCCTTGACTACTGCTACTGCTGCAGACAAAGCAAAAGGCAGCCAGCACACAAGCCTGCTAGTCTTTTACCCTTCTATGAAATTTATCAAAATCCACTTTTAAAACCCAGAAGAGATGTCAGGAATAATACCACTTGTGCTCACAAACACATATTAGCCCCAGAGTGTTCCACTCCTACAAAAAACTGTGCTGATAGAGCTGGAATGCTGAGGGTGTTTGGGTTTTGCTGGCAAATTCTCTACAGCATTTTGACAAGCCTTTCACTTAACTGTGCTAGCTCAGGATATGGCACTACCAAAATCCTACTGGCTTTCCAGAGGAAACACATCCAAAAGGACACAAGTCATGCCAAGGAACTCCTGCTTCCTTTGCACACTAAGGGGCTGTTTGTCTTTTGCACAGCCAACGAAGACAGTGAATGTGGCTCCAGTAACACAAGAGTACTGATATTTAAAGGAGTTTCAGGCAAGCTGGTTAAATCCAATCCAGTCCCTTCCTGCAATTCATGCATAAAGAGGACTTCAGTCAAACATGACCATTGTCACAGCAACCTCATCTCAGAAAGCTGAGTGTAGTTGTTAAGAGCCATCGTTCTGCAGTGCTGACCAAGGCTGGGGTGCCCACAG